GAGGGAGGGAAATCTTCACTAGCACTGATGCTGTAAACCAGACCAGAACACTTGTGGAACCAGGATGTAGGAAAAGGAACCAAACCTAGGAGTGCTCAGGAAGTCTACCATAGACRTCAGGGTTAATTACAACCACCTCATTACTTTCAGCAGCATTTTGTGTCAAYTTTGCCAAAATGGTGAAAACCCATATGAAAATGCATCACTTCACCAGATTAACTCTGCTTTCCTTTTAGAAATAACATTACCAAGGCAGGATATATACTTTTAATTAAACTCTCAATTGAAAGGCTGGCAGTGATACCTAGGAAGCCTGATACTGTTGGATATTAACATCTGTTTCCTGTCTTGTAAAGCAGATGGTAGAGAACTCAGGGATTTACCATGYGCTCCCCCATTACTTCTGTGCTGTATTTGAAGAAAATTGTATTAATACAAATAAAAGGAATTGCCRCACAAATGGTTCAACCAAGAAGAAGAAACTGTGGTTGTTACAGTGATATTGAAGAGTTTTTATGAGGCTAATAAAAAAATCTTTGTCAGTGTCCCCCACTATTTAATGTGCCAGAGCAAATAACAAAATGGATGATTGATTCTCGCTCATGAAAGAGTAAATATATAGAAAATGGGAATTGCTAGTTTCAAAAATCCACACCATCATAAAATACATACTTAAACTCCTATACCCGAAAAATGCAACACACCAAAAGATCCTGCCCACTGATTAGCTATCAAGTCTCATTTTTGTGAACAAGAATTTTAATGCTTGCTAGTACTTCCTTTCTAGAAAATTACACAAAAGGAAATAATATCCATTTATCTGTATCAACAAAAAAGGGCTAAACAATTTTTAAGTGTAAATCAAAACACAAAGCTCAAAGGAAGAGCTAAATTCCTCCATTTTTTTAACAAAAAAAAACCCACAAATACAGCATTCCATTCTGAGAAAAAAAATACAAGACATTCACATTTAAAGCTTGGGCAAAACTCATCAAGTGGAACAAAGTTACCATCATTTTCTAAGAAAGCAATCAGAGGACACCCAAGCTCTGCTTGGGACAGTAAGGCTCATCAAGTTGGATTTTTCTGTGTGTGGGGGCACAGTGCTGTCACTATTAAGATGCTTAAGGCTTCCATGACACTTGGCAGTGAACTGTAGGTGCAACCATTATACTCAGACAAGGAGATAATGCAAGCAGTGACTGGACTGGAATGGAGATGCTTTGCCTGGATCTCTCCTGCAGAYATCCTCCAAAAATCCCCTCAATCCCTCAGCTCTTGCTTCCATGGTATTTCTGATTCTACTGATAAATACAGACAATTTCACGTAATTCTAAAAGATGTAATGAGCTCAATGCTGYCTGCTAGCAAGATAAGAAAGCGTAACTAAAACAGTGCTGAAATTATTAACATTCAAAGAAAGGCAGGCTGCGGGAGCTGGGTTCTTGCAAGGCTCAATGGGTTTTGCCATTTTCCTCACTGCAGGTACATGGGTGTCAACAGAGAAACAGCTCTATAATACCAAAACACAGCAGCCAGTTCCACAGTGTCATGTGGGCATTAAAGAAACAGATGGATTATGCTGGACAAGCCAAATACAAAATGTTCAAGACAGCTGTCAGATCAGTATTTCAAAGGACCAGAAACATGATGTGTACAAATAGATTCCCAGTGATCAGCTCAACGTCTTGCTTACCCCAATAGCTCCCTCCATGTTACCTGAACTACCACAGTGACTTCTCTACAAAACTTCTGTAGCCAAAAAATCACCTTCTATATTTAGTGGTATATCACATACCAGGCAATATTAAAAGCCACTAGCAGCAAGAAAAAAATGGCAATCAAAATTACAGCTGAATCCTTCACGAATGTGCCATAAAAAGTGTACACAAAAATGTAATTCATTTTTCATTAGTTACATGTTACACAGAATTGCTTCTCTCCTCATAGCTTTATAACCAGATGGCTTCTATCTCCCAATACTTCAGAGAAAAACAGAACTCAACAAAGTACTAAGATCCAGGGTTCTGCTTATACCAGCATGTTTACACCTCTCCTTTAAAATTTCTGGTAAAAATATTCCATGAGACCAAGTGACTTCCAAAAAAAATTTTATCACCATCTAAAGATTAGGCTTAATCATGAACATTCATGTATTTTTCCTGCATTTTATTTACTTTCCAGTAATGATGTTCCAGTAATCACTCCACACCACAATTACTCTGGTAGTTAGCAGCAAGCTCCTTCAAAGGAAGGGAGCCTAAAGTTCACTATTTCAGATACATGTCTTCTAAAATATCCCCAACTCCCTGCTCCTTACACTAATAAAAAGGCTCTAGGAAGAGGCCTCTGACATGCTGAAGGTCACCTTAGCTGCTGCCTTAAGACCAGCCACCTCTGATCACCACTTTGATACAACTTTCCAAGCTTTAGGCTCAAGGTCGTTCCTCTCAAATGCATCAACTCAGAATTTGAAAGCTAATTAGACTGTAAAAATGTAAAAACTTATGAAGAATTTAGAAGCCAGATTCTCATCTGCTAATCTCTGGTTTCCCGCATTTAGGATAATTCTCCATCTCTGTGTTGGCAGTTTTACCATCTACCAGGTAYTCCAGAGGATTATTAGAGGGACCAGAGTTTTCTTCAAACACCCCACTGAACTGAAAACATAAGGGAAACAAACCCAAAATGGGTATTACCAAACGATTCTACAGATTTACAACCTTGCTGYTGAAAATCAAAAGCTTGTTTGTTTTTGTTGATTCTTTTCCTTCTCTTTCTTTCCTGTGTTTTCACTAAAGTCAAGATTTTGTCAGCACACCAGGACAGTAACACAGGCTCCCACTACAGTGACACTGGAGACCCTTCTTAGCTGACAACACTCAAGTAAATTCTCTCAACCAAAAGTGAGTCACATGAACAGAAATAATTTTTCCTTCATCAAATCATATGCAACCAGTTTTTTTTTTAAACTATTACTACTGATTTAATTTTAATTTCTCATGAAGCATTCATGACATTCCAGGATCCTTACATGCTTTGCATTGGCTCCAAAAAGTGCCCATCTTATTTAATTTCTTCAACGGTAAAAATATTTCATAATAATTTCACTTGAGAACTAAAACAGAGTTCAGAATCAATCCTTTACATTTTACCTACAGAAGGCTTTCMTCCAGAGTTTTCTAATTCTGTATCTGCCTTTCCCTGTGATCCRTAAAAGTTTGTCAAAATCTGTTGTCAAATCTGCAGAACTACCAAGACTCCAAGGTGTTTTCTGTACATGCTGTTTTTGTTGCTATGATTTTTTTTGGYTGGTATTTTTCGGGGCACATGGGGTCAAGAGGCGCTATTTCTACTATTTCAGATTTCAATCCATACCACATTTCTCTTCAAGAAATATTTTTCAAAGCACATAAAATACCTTTTCACTCTGAAGATTTAAGAGAATTGGGGAGTTCTGCATGCGAATTTCCCCATTCTGAACTCTATTTGATATGCCTCACAGGGAGCTTAAAAGATAATTATTTTCCCTATGGAGGGTTTTTAAATGATATGGCATAATCTGATTTACTGAAAAAATGCAAGAGCCTTAATCTGCTATTTCTTGCTTAGGTAAAATGCAAACTTCTTTCATAGAGCAGTTATTCCCATCTTAGAAAGCAGCACATACTGTACAATGAGCACACCATTAGCAGTAATATAATCTTATCATCTGCATTCCACATTCTCTTTTTAGATCTRTAATCATCAACTAATTCACCCCAGTTTACCTTGAGGTTACACAAAATTTAAAAAAAAAAAGAAACTCAAGAAACTTTTATTTTACTATAGGAAATTAAAAGCCTAGAAACATAAATGGCTGTGGAGAAAAATCAATATTTTAGTCAAAATTAGATCTTAGGAGTTTCTAGTTATCAGATATGTAGGTTTCAATTTAAATTAAAAAGCTACATCTGGCTGCACAATAATCCATTACAAAAGTGCACCTGACCCCCTAGAGAAACAAAGAAGCTGAAAGAATCCGCCTTCTTACAAATCCAGTAACACATTAAATMCCCTAAGTGCGATGTGAAGCACAAAACTCTTCAAGTTTTAAAAACAGACATTGAAACTGAATTATTCAACAGAAAACATTGATTTGTGACATTTTCAGAACACTACATTTCCTTAATAGAAATTTCTTTCTCCAAGACTTCCATTTATTCAACAGGCGTAAAATGGACTTCTCAAGCTTGCCATTGAACGTATGAATATTTACTCTTCATCTTTTATTTCAACTACATTTACCACAAAAGGGTAAGAATACTTMTGCCACTGTGTAAACTACAGTGTTCTTCAAAGAACTAATGATCTTGAAATGATGCAGCCTCAAGGCTGCAACACAGATCAGATTCATAGAGACCAGTAAAATCTCTGCTCTAAAAGATCTAACTGCAGAAGTTTTAATATCACTGCAACTCTGAACATGACAAAGTGAGCACAGTCTTAGTACTTAATATCTTTAAAAAAAGTGTATCTTGTAGCTTTGTTCCTTTTTATTCATTTGCTTAAGACAAAAATTTATGCTTTTAAATTGGTGATAATCAGAAGAATTCATACTTTACTGTTCACATACCACTTGATTTGGTTTTTGTGTAAGTCTTTTAAGTCAAAGGGCAAAATAGGTATTGCTTTTTAAAAGTAAAATATTCCCATTTTTTCACATTACAAGGTTCATTCAATCAGGCTTGATTTCAGAAACAGAGCAGCATATCTTTGCAATTGCAGTTTTTCCAGCTTTTTAGAACTCCCAATCAATACAGACTATTAACCATTTCTGTGTTAACCACAGAGAAAATACAGGGATTACCAAAGTATTTGCATTTATCCATTTGCTACACTGAGCTGTGTAAATGGAATGTGAACTTGGACTAAAGGAGCATAACTAAACATTTGTGTTGCATGACAACAGTGTAGGGTATGGTGAGTACTAGAATAAAAATTAATTGAACAAGTCCTACCTGTGGGCACAAAGTCTCGATGTGATTGGCTGCCATTTGGACAATTTTTGTTCCATCTTCATTTGTTGACAATGAACAAGCAAGATTGGCAACCTTAAATAAAATAAATAAACAAACTTAAATAAGCAAATAGCCTTGTACACAASTATTCCTCCACAGACTTCAAACTTGCCAAGAAACATATCTGCCAGAAAGCCTTCATTTTTGGTGAGGGGGAGAATAATTTGTCAAAGTATGTTTTTGAACGAGGAAACACTGCAGGAGGGAAAAAGAGCTGAGGAAAGAGGTGACAGTGACAAGAAATCTTRTGACCTCACCCCACTTTAGGCACAGCAGGTGACAGCTGCAGAATGGTGTTTAGAAAACAGGAGGAAATTTCAAAGTAAGAGCCTAAGGCTTCAAAAGATTACTTGTGATTTTGCCCGTTAATTTTTCAAAGCCCTTCAATCCACGACCAGCTTTTCCAGTTTTGTTTTTTTTTAAACTTACTTCTAAGACCTTAAAGCTCAAATAACATTTATCTTCACTTGCTGTAATTGAACACAAAGTAATTTCTGCCCCAAACTATCCACAAACCATTCTTTTAATTAGTGGTATGGTTTGCTACTGAAAGGGTCATATCATATAGCACACATAGCACAACTAACAATGAAAACATATATGGAAACCTGAAATCTGTGAAAGAATAGATCTATTTCTGTTTTACTCTACTATATACCACAGAAACAGTTTCCTTTAAAGCAAAAGCCTCTTCCACGATGTTTGACAGCTCCACAAGTTTAAACGGATGAAAGAAAAAGCATCTCACTACAACTGAACATCAAGAGGCTATAGGAGACTGGTTTGACAAAGGCACAAGGGAGATTGGGATACTGGGATCCCATAGATCTTTTCATCCTACTGGAGTAACACTGAGTCCTCATGCAAATCATTCCACAGCCTTCCCTGAGTAACTGTACTACCTATACCCACTATGAAGTTAACATAAAGCAAAAACTGCCTGAGAACTAGACCTCTGCAGTGCTGCAAATATGAACACACAAAGGCTTGGTTATTTTGGAGTTATCCAAAATTCATACAACAGCTCCTGCAGTTCAGATGCTGTGAAAAGATCAACATTTTAGGGCACTAGTACTAGTTCAATGATGATCTATTACCAAAGACCTTTACTACTCTTAATTGATATAAGCAATTACACATCATTAGTCAGCACATGGACAAATTAATTATTACTCCTACTGAAATTTCAGAAGAGATTGAGACAGTTTCTGAAGGGGAGGAGATCTGGAATGCAGGCCTTCCACTACACCTGTGGCTACACAAAAATAGTTTAAACGACTTGCCCTGGTATTCCAATACAATTCACTAGTTCCCTACCTATGTGATGTATTACCTCCTCCACATGAAAACCTATCGTTAGGACTGAAAAAATCCAGTTCTCATCAATGCACTGACACAGCATTCTCTTTCATTTGAAGTAACTGCTTTAAAAAAACAACCCATGGCAGTTATCTGAAAAGACTGGGTTTGGTTCTATGCTTTCCTTCCTGACTTTTCACATTAAATATCAACAGATTACTTATCATCACAATACAATCCTAAAATATGCTATTCCCTCCCCTCAAAAAAAAAAATTATTTTTCTTTGAAGGTCAGGAGTTTTCACAACTGATCCCAACAAGTAATTCATATTGATTTGAGTATTTCAATTCCTTTGCCCTGTCACTGAGCTGCTTGTGTATCCCTAATTTAATACTGTGTTCACTTACACTTCATTACTACACCACCTGTGTAAAATAAAACAGTCTACAAGACTCAGTGCAAACATTATTGAATTAAATAACTCCTCTATGCCTAAAGCAGTAACAATTCAAAGGTAAAATAATAAAAAGGCAATGCCAGCCATTCCACCATGAGAAAAACAAAAAGCTGCTGAGAGTTTTTCTCTATACCATAAGGTTCCTCAGGTTTTTCAGATTCATTTTGCAGTTTTCAGAAAAACTTGACTTGTGTTTCTTGGAATCCACTACAAACATGTGCGACATGGAGCTCCTGTTTATCAGTGAGATACCACTGTAAGCAGTTCTGTCCCTGTCCTGATGAGCAGGGCAGATACAGARATGGCATAGGACAACTTTTTATCCTGTTTCCCAGCTGCACTGGCTCCAGCACTTCAGTGCAAATACTGTCCTTAATATAAACTGTATCACAGTCACAGAATAATAAATCAGGATGAAAGAGCTTTCCAGAGATCATGTAGTCCAATTCACTGTACAAACCATGAGATTTAATTCGAGATCAATTGGTACCAATAGCTCTATGCAACAGATTAGATCTGGGGACAAATTCTATATGTGTTACCAGATCATGTGGGAGATTGGAAGGGTAAAARGTGTGGCTCCTGTCCAGCACAGCATGCTCAGGTTGGGAGGGACCTCTTAATCCACAAGTATTCCCTTTTATTTGAAGTCAACAGCAATGGGGGATTTTTTTAATAAAAAGAGAAAAAACTTTTTCTSAACTTATGCTTATCCTCCTGATTCTTCAGCTCTAAAGCACTCCTTGGTGATAGCCCAATTCAGAATAGTGTTCTCAAAGTACAAGCCGCAAACCAAAGGTACAAGCACTARGAATTCACATAAGGCCATTTACAATAGCAAACAGAGATTTGTATTATTTACATTCAATAACTTCAAAAATCTAGGAAGTTAAAAGAAGTAGCATTGGCAACTTTGGAATAAATACACATTACATTTCTGATGCATATTTGGAATTCATACTACAGTGCTATGCCAGCAGTGAATTTAGACCTTTGCCTTTCGTTCTGATCAATGCCAATTAAGACTTTTGTCTCCGTGGGAAAATGGGTAGAGTTTTCTTCTCCTGGCACTGAAGTAGCCCTTTTCCACATGTATCTCATGCATAAGTAAAAGGGCTTTCAGTCTCAGCAGCAGGTGATGAGGCTCACAGTTATTCCGCACAAAGAGAATCCAGATCTTTTAAAGTCATTAACATGACCTTGATGCCTTAGGATTTTTAGTTTCTATATTTTCATGTGTCTRTATTCTTGTATTTCTCTAGTACAGCACTAAAACTACCATTCTCCCATCTTTAGACAAAACAATCCCTCTTTGAGCCTGAATCCAAGGACACCTCGCTGCCTCAGAGTCCCAAAATAAGGAAACAACAGCGAGTCAGAGGGGGGAGCAAGTTTGGGGTGGTTCACATCATGACCATTGGACAATTAAGACCCAATATGTTAAAATAAGGCAGAATTTATAAAAGGTGAAGATCTCATAACTCGTTGTCCATTTTGGGTGTAGCCTCAGGAGGAGGCTCTTGTCTGCCCTAATGTACCAGTAGGCCCATATTAAAGCTATATATTCTCATTCAGTTCTCATTCCCTTAAGTTTGTCTGGCCTCTATTTTAGATYAGCCTGATTGAGAAGGCATCAGTCTCAACCATCAGTATACTCACTGCCGGTATTTTCATCACCAGCTCCTGAAGAGATCTCCTTAACACAAATCCCGAAAATTCAAATAAATCATATGGAAAGAGCCAAACACTTGTAATTTTTCCAAGTAGAAGGAAGGGGATCTGAGAACCTGAAGTCTCTTTTGAGACTTAATAAGGAGGACAAGCTGTTACAGCAATAGTAAATGACTACAATCCATAAGAAAAAATAAAGCCCTAGCTCAGAGAAGACCTTACKGTCATGAGTATCACACACATCTCAAAGGACTTTTGCAATTTCAGAAACCTTCATTACACTACAGTAATRAATTCCCCTAAGCAGTATAAGCTACACAAATACATCACATTTCTCTTGTATTCTCTGGGAGAAACTAGCTTCCCTTAAAAGGACTTCAAGACCAAGTACACTGCAACCTCAAAAACAAACAGAATTGCAAAATGAAAGGACATGATTCCTCTCAGTCAAAAAATATCTGTCCTTCTGAAGAGCAAAGTTTGTCAGGGCAAAGACAAAGCTTTCTTGTAGGCTGGACTGATTGAAATCATAACTTTACAGAAAAAAAAAAAATCATAATCACTTTTTCTATTTAAGATACCAAGAAAGCAGTTACACAGCTTTTCCTTGAGAACACAAAGAACAGAGAATAAACCATCCTAGATGAGGTTTAGCAACATCAATTAATACACTAATTAAGGTGCAGTGGGAAAGGAAGACTTTGAACTGAGCATGCAACTGCAGGACTGGCAGTAGATAAAATATTTCATCAGCCWGATGGATTTTTAGATTGTGAAGGCATCAAAGAGTGTAATTTTTGATGCCCATTAACTGTGCACAGAAGATATGTCAATGCACATTTCTTTTATACCTGACGCTGTTAAACAAGCTTCTTACAGGCACTTTGACTGGTCTTTGTGTTTTTACTACTGGGTGAGGGCTTACCGCTCTGCATTGGGGGAGTAGGTTCCTCTCTTTAGCATGTGGTGAGCCAACAGTTTTTTTTGGGCTAGAAATTCCTGTAGTGTAAGATTTGTGTATAGCACATAGACTGTTAAAAAAATAACTCMACAAATCATATTCTTGCCTTGATTTACACTTTACTTGGACTCATGTATCTAGGAGAGAGCACAACAGGAAATTTTCACCCAACTTTTTCAGCTCCTACTCTTACCAAAGAACTGAAAGGCAACCAAAGACACACTTTAGAGGCTGTGAGAAACACACGTGAACAAGTTCGCTCTGTTGTCCAAACTTGCTTGGGATGGAAGGCTTTTTCCTTGGCTATGCTCACACAAGTGCATTCACACTTGGAATCCTAATATTCTCTCCCCAATCAGAGGATGAAGGCTTTAAAAGCTTCTTTCATCCTCAGATTTCCCAATGCTCTCATTGGGTACTACAATGCAAAACAGAAAATGCATACAGGCAAAAAMATCTTGGAGAGTTACTAATTACTTYCAGTGGATCTCCAGAAAGGTGGGAAAATTTTCAACAGCCTGAAGCCATCTATTGCTGGAAGTAATAAAGATAACTCATTTCCTTTCTGTAGACAAAAGGAACTGATTCCAACACGTTAAGATCCTCAGGACAAGTGAAAGCTCACATGCAAAGTGAGACTGCC